TAGTACCAGAATTCAGTCCTTCCTTATATAGTTTCCTGGGCCAGTGCTTTCAAGAGTTTGTTTTATCATAAAATTATTTTCACTTAAACAATAAACAAATAATAATAATACAGGTTTAAGACTGGTTAATTAAAATGAGAATATAACAAAACCATCATTCTTATACACTAATAAAATGGAGTATTCAGCAGAACAAATTTTTGAAAAGAAATAGATATGCATAGTTATGTTTCCAAATAGTCAAAATGGCCATGTGTCAGTTTGAGTCAGATAGTCAACCAAACAAGAGGGTGGTACAAAAACTCATAACTTTACTCTAAAATCCCTAAAATTGACTTGTGGAAATAGAAAATTTCTGTTTAAAAAAGTTTATAAATTATGTAACTTACAATTTCATAAAATTCTGAATGAATATTCTATCCAAGAGAAAAATAGAACTCTGAGCAATGTATCATATTTGTACAAGGCCCTTGAATGTCACATGTATTAGTCACAAAAGAAAACACTTATCCGTGGCAGACTCAGTAAGATTTCAGTGAGGTGTTCTGTAAACCACTCTTACTCTACAAAGCTCAACAACACACAGTTTTGTGTGGAAATTACTGTGTTTCAACTTGGCACATAAGCTATTATCTAATGTGTGCAATCAGACATTTTCAAAAGGTTGTACAAATCATTATATTTACAAATGTGGCAGAAAGTGAATTCAACAGTCTATGAGCATTCATACTTCATTTACATCTTTAACAAAAAACAGTGGAAAGATTAACACTATAGAAGTAAAAAATACTAGGGCAGCTCTTAAGTAAACATTAGAGTCACACAAGAGTCACCCAGAGTAGTCAAATACTGTCCCCTCTCAATTCTACTACTAAAAGTGAAACAACATGGAGGCTAATCAAGTTCAACTCTAGAGATACAAATCTTTCATAATCCCACTTATTTATCTGTTTGAAATATGTGATCTATCTTTAATTTGTGGTCTTAAACTTCTGTTTTACAAAATCCAAAAAGAAGAGAAAAGCAACACAATAAAATTATCTGAAATAAAAATATTAAATGTTTATAATTAAGGAAACCCAAGAATTAAAATCATGAAATTTACTCATACATTAGGAGATATGAAATATATATATTTATTTAAAGTAAATTATGCTGCTCCAACATGTTTCTTTGATCCGTGCATTGTTCAACTAATCCAAAAATTGTATACATTCACATTTTTAAGAATATTCCCTGTGAATAAACAGTAACACGACCTACAAAGCTCTCTCATTGACTTAGTGTATGGTAGGAGACAACACTCAGCCAACCAGTTTGCTAACCATAAGGAATGGTCTCTGTTTGGAAGGTCCTGTTGAGTGGGAATATGCTCCCTAGTCACCTCTGTCTTATCTGATGCTGTAGTAAGAATTTGTTTGATCTTCATTTTTGCACTAGCCATATTGTGACCCCAGAATTTTTATTTATTTATATTTTATTTTATTTATTTATTTATTTTGGTATCATTAACATACAATT